AGAGAGAAACATACACACACCAACAGATCCATATTATGGAGATGGTCTCATCTGCTTCACACACACAATCTGTATCGCAATCACATACACATATGCTTCAGCCAGAAATGCAGAGGTCAGAAGCTTCTCTTTCTCTTTCACACACATTCAAGCTTCTCTATTGCATTTCTGATGAGATGGAGTTACATTGCTCTATTGGCTAGAATTGGGAGAGTTACTACACAATAGAAGCAACAATCAGAAATGTATATCATCCATATACAGACAACCAAAACACCCTGACTGATCTCTCAGATACACAGATGCATTAAGTCATTAAAGTGGCTATTGTTCATGTGAGTAACGACAGGCCACTCGAATGTAGAGGTTATTAACCCAGTCTGACCTTTGATCTATCTCCACCTGGTTGGGAGTAGTTGCTGTCGCAGGACAAGGAGGAGGAATCCTGGCTGGTTCCCCCTCACTAATCCTGGTAAGATCAGATCCAATTTAACCTCTTCAGGCAACCCATTCAGGATAATATTTCCCCTACGTTGCCCCATTCTCAAATTCAAATGAACTTCAAATTCCGTGGGGATTTACTTTCCCTCTGCAACATTCAACCACCAGCACCAACTATACTTGTAGAATGCAAGGATTATTGTAGAATCTCTAAACAATTCACAGTTCAATGCCTGTTCAATGTCAAGTGCTCCGAGTCGCTACCCTGTGTGAAGGGCGCTATATAAGTGCAAGTTGTTGATTTCGGCTGTAGTTGTATTGTGAAGTCTTGCCCACAAAGAATGGACTTGAGACTGCACAAGCTCCCTTCACACTCCTCCCAATGTCTTTGCCAACTGAGCCTGGGGAAGCCAAGTTTTAAATTCTAACAACTTGCACCAATTACAAACTAGTTAATTGGAAATGTGTTACATTAGGCTCATAAGTAACGTTGCTGTGGTAACCGAATATTTGCTGTATTCCCTTCTGATCATGGCAATGGTCTAGAGATGTGAAGGAAAGTATAAAAAATTGCCATTAATTCCACTAAAAATATTTTTTCCCCCTTTTGCAGAAGGATTGATAGTAAGTGAATGGGGTGAAAATATCATAATGATGAGAAAGATTGTATCTTTCACCCCGATTATCATTATCCCAAATGACTGGATTTGACCCATGCTCCAAATAACTCATAACCATCCACTTCCCTTCACTACCAAAGGGCTCTTTTAGCAATAAAGTTCAAAGTCAGCTTCATCTTTTTTTTAAACCTTGGAATAAGTTAAACTCTTTAATACATGACGCATTTGATTGCGTGCGACCAAACCCTGAGAAACATCATGTGTACCAACACACCTCAATGGCCAAATTTGCATGAAGTCGTGTAGCAACAGATTTGCTATTGACAGACTTATTGGCTTGTTCTAATGACTGATTTAGTGGATAATGTAACATGATGTGCAAAGGACAATTTGTTCCCCTGTTTATTGAGAAAGATCAGAGGAATAGATCAATATTTATAACAAATTCAGAAAACGCATTAAACAGCAAGCTTCACAAATAGTCTCAAAATTACACTTGGTCTTAGCCTGTAAGACTATTTTGGCTTAAAATGTTTATACAGAATTATGGACAATTCTTAAATTCAGCATTACTTTGGTAGCTAATTCTCTACAGTTTTTAAAACAAAACCTGCTTCCAAATTTTAACTGGATTTAAGAATTTTTCACAATTCTGCAAGATGTTACATGCATATAGGAGGGAGAACGCAATAGAGGGGTGTGACATGGGGATTAAGAGGAGTGGCAGCTCATAACATGGACATTGATTAATTTGTGCTTAAGCTCACTTCTGTGTTGTAACAATCTATGTAATTCTAAGAAAAAATGTATTTATATGCATCGGAATTTCAGGCCTATCGTGCCAACAAATTGTGTGAACGATTTTTTAAACTAACTTTCAGATTTTGTAATAGTTTTAATTCTGCAGCTTGTGCCCTTTCCCATCACCCCCACCCTCACCCGGTTCCACTGGCTCCCCATCCCTCAGAGGATAGAATTCAAAATCATCATCTTTGCCTTCAAAGCCCTCCACAGCCTTGCCCCTTCCCACGTCAGGGACCTTCTAACCTCTTCTCAACCTGTCCATTCCCTCCACTCAGTAGGCTCCGGCCTGCTTCACGTCTCCCACTCAGCCCGCCCAACCATCGGCGGTCAGGCCTTCAGCGTTTCTACCACCACCCTTTGGAACTCCATCCCACATTCCCTTCACCTCGCTCTCTCCCTTGCCTCCTTCAAGGCACGTCTCGAGACCCCCCTCTTCGACCGTGCCTTCGACCACCCTCCTACCCTCCCTTACCCCAACCACCCCCTCCCCCCCTTTAACATCCGTGGCTTTCTGGGGCCTTCTGTTCCTGTTCTTAGTATTCTCTGGGGGAAAAAAATAATTTGAGGCATCCAAATATGAAGTGCGGAATGAGTCATTTTAGCGCCTTGGGACGTCCTCCCGACATGAAAGGCGCTTCACAAATGTAATGTTGGGTTGTATTAGCCTGCCAATGGCATGCTGGAGATTTTGGTATTGATTTTCTCACAATCAAGACGTTATCGTCTTGGTGCACTTTATCCTGCACATCTTATCTCATGCTGTAATTAAAAGACACCCACACCCACAGGTGTTCTGTAAGATGCAAGCTGACAAGCAGAGGAAACTGAGCAAATATCAGCCCCAATCAGTCCAGCCACTTTATCCTCCGCCCAAAGACACAGACCAAAGCGGATGAGTCTGCCAGGATTATGCCTGTAACTACATCGCCAGCAGTTTCAGGACATTCCCATTAGAAAGAGAAAATCAAAATATTGTTTACTTTTAACAATGGGAATACAATAAGTTCCCACTGTGAGGATAAAACCTGATGTTGGTCACAATGAGAATTAGAGGAAAAGAGCTTTCTCTTTAGACAGACCGGCGGCGATTGTACTAGCAGGAAGGAAGAGTTAATGAAAAGGACGATTCATAGACATTTTGGGAGAGAGAGAGGGAGAAAGGGCTTTGGCAAAGGGCCAGAGACATAGCAGAGAATAACATATCGAGACAGACTTCATTACATTTCTGTCTCTGACACTCACATTTACAAACTGACTGGCCAGCCCCAACTGGCTCCATTCCAATGCAACAAAACATTAAATGCAAGCTTCCATTGTCAATCCTGCAGGTTTTCCACAGCAAGTATCAAGACAGCTTCGGTATTCCAATATAAAATGGATTAAATTGGACCACAGCGGTTTGCATTTGCACACAAGCACACACATCTGTGTCGCACAACGTTGTCAAGAGTCTTATCTTAGTAAGAGAGCCCAATATGCTCTATGTGTCACCGATATATCTCCACACAGCTGATTTTGGACTTTGATATAGTGAGGTGAAAATGTGGTATGTGATACTGATCACTACAGATAACTATCACATTGCTGAATAGGTAACATTGAGAGTGAACCTCTTTTCCACCCACCCCTACCTAGCTTTGGGCAAAACTGCCAAAACGCTATCTTGGCAGTTTTGCAGGATATTGCTGAGCGCAAAATAGCTGCCACATTTGCCTAGATCAATACACTTGACAGTAATTGCTTATGTAGCACTTTGAGATGTTCTGGTGTTATAGGCACTATAACAATTGCAGAAATTATTTTATTATTATCTTTTGTTCTGCTGCATGGAAAAGTAGTCAAACTGATATTAACTCGGTGATGTTGAAAGATATCTGGTTACTATCTCACAGATTTGTACCCAGAACAAAATTTGCATGCTTAAAAACATTGCAAGAATTATTTACTGCAGACAAATGAAACACTTATTTTCTTGCTCTTTCTAAATGTCAAATGACCATTGGAAAGTCGAGATGTAAAAAGATTAATCATTTAAGGACTAAAGCTGCAAGTTTCAGTCGCTGCATCATAAACCTAACAGCTCACAGTTGCCTCTGATGTGGAGGCAGAACAATTCTTGTGTTCATCCTTTATGGGTTCCCTTTGTAACTTTTGGCAGGTTCATAAAGCAAAAAGCGATCTCAGTACTTAGCTCATTACTCAGAGAGCTGAAGCTGCAGCCTCAGTATTGTCTCTCTGCATCGCTTAAAGAATGAAAACAACAACAAAAACACATTTATAGAGCGCCTTTCACAACGGGAGGACGTCCCAAAGCGCTGAACAGTCAGATGTCGGGGCCTGAGCATGGGGGAGCGGTGCTGTATGGGTGAGGGAAAGCAGAGAGGTGGGAGGGAGACCAAAGGTACGGTCGAAGAGAAGGGTCTTGAGACCGGCCTTGAAGGAGGCAAGGGAGGAACCGAGGAGAAGGGACCGTGGGATGGAGTTCCAGAGTGTGGAGGTAGAGAGGCTGAAAGCCCGCCCACCAATGGTAAGGCGGGTTGGGCGGGAGACATGGAACAGGCCGGAGCCTGATGAGCGGAGGGAGCGGGCAGGTTGGTAGGGAGTTAAACAGTTAAACAGTCAGTGCATTAAAAAGGCCCTTGTGCCTGATTTCTCCAATTGGCTGATTTTAATTGTATGGTATCCAATACAGTTCTTGTACGGCAGAGGGGTTTGGTGCTGTTAATAACAAAATATGATCACTTTAAATTCTAATAACAACAACTGAACCCGTTCAATAAATTTAACATGGTTGAAAAATCTACAAGACACAGTCTCAAGCTCAGAACCAGCAAGGCGAAGATTAAGTTCTTAACAAGATATTTTATACAGAGAATGGTTAATATGTTCAATAATAATCCTTGCATTTGATATTGAGCAAGGATTGAGGTTAAAAGAGGAATAGTTATCTATTTTGCAAAGAAAGCAATTGAGAGGTACAGTATAAGATTTTGTTTCACTTTACTTTTACCAACCAGATTGAAGACAGGGATCCCTTTCCAGGCCTGTACTTTCCTATATTCCTTTGTTTAGTAAATTCACAGGTATCAGCTTTACTAGATTGCTACCATACACCAGAGAGTACCAGCCACCTACCATGTAAGAAGGGAATATCAGAACCCTCTTGTGTTTTCCACAGGGCCACTGCGGGTCATCCAGTAGGTTGGGGTCATACTCCACAAACTCTCCCACTTCATTCCCTGCAATAAAATTCCAATATCTTATTATTTTGATAAAATGTTGATCCTTGTCCTCTCTCTCAGTAGACAGGCGTTAATGAAAGTAACTTACAAAATGTAACTATGAATTAAGAGTATTTGAATGATCTAATTTATAGTATTTTTAATGAGGATTCCTTAATACGGAAAAAGGGGACTCCTTCCGATAACTGGGAGTACATCACAGCAAACCACTAAAACACTCCTCCAACATGATTGACGTGTAGAGCAGAGTGTACTTCTAGCCAACGGGACCTCGACTGGGAATATTTACTAGGATAGAAGTTAGACCATAACATGTGTGAGCATGACACTGTAACTACAACAACAGTGCCATTTGTTTAAATTTTGAAGTAGTTGTTAATCAAATAATGTTGCCTTCATTCTTCAAATATGCACACAAGCATATATGTATTATATTATTTTTTTCTTCTTGAGGGATTATTATCAGGCGTGTGGAGTATGGAAACTTGCTCAAGGTTTCGCCCTGGCGGGAATGAAACCCAGGTCTCTCGCTTGTGAGGCGAGTGCCTCAGCAACAACAACAACAAGATTGCATTTATAGAGCACCTTTCATGTCGGGACAACGTCCCAAGGCGCTGGACAGTTGAGTCGGGACCCGTGCAGGAGGGAAATGGTCAGGGTGAGGGAAGGGAAGGGAGGGAGGAGGAGGGGAGGGAAGGGAGGGAGCGAGGAGGGGGTAGAGAATCGAGAGGGGAGCTGAAGGCTCGGTTGAAGAGAAGGCGAGTCCTGCAGCTCAATGGTAAGAGCACTCGCTTGTGAGGTGAGTCCTGCAGCTCAATGATTAGAGCACTCGCCTTGCAAGCGAGACACCTGGGTTCAATTCCAGGCAGGGCAAAACCTTGGGCAAGTTTCCTTACTCCACACGCCTAATAATAATCCCTCCAAAACAAAACAATAACAAATTGGTCAGTTCAAACCACGACTGTTTGTGGGACACTGCTGTGCACTATTGGCTGCTGCATTTCGCCCACAAATATACAGTCAATTCGCTTTACAGTATATTCTGTGAAGCACTTTGAGACGTCCAGAAGACATGAAAAGCGCTATAACAAATGCAAGGATTATTATTATTACTACTGAAGTATATTGACTCTTAGTAACTAATAGTATGAACTGTACAATAAAGCAACCTACTCATAAGTACAAATACTCTTAGGTACTAAGACTCAATACTTCAATAGTACTTCAATAGTATTAAATCTCATTACCTAGAGAAAAGCCATAATGCCAATACACAATGTTGCTTTGCATGCATGCTCGTTCCTCACCTCCCCAAGCTCTCCCTCAGACTCACCGAACCCATGTGCAACTTAGGCATCAGGTTTGATCCCTAGCTTTCCTACGTACCGCACATCCATTTCCTGACCAGGACTGCTTTTTACCGCCTCCGCCACATTGCCCGCCTCTATAATAATAATAATCCTTGCATTTGATATAGCGCTTTTTTCACATCGGGAGGACGTCCCAAAGCACTTCACAGAACACACTGTAAAGTGAATTGACTATATTTGTGGGCGAACGCGACAGCCAATTGCGCACAGCAATGTCCCACAAACAGTCGTAGATTGAAAATGACCAATTTATTATTGTTTTTGGAGGGATTATTATTAGGCGTGTGGAGTAAGGAAACTTGCCCAAGGTTTCGCCCTGACCTGCCTGGAATTGAACCCAGGTCTCTCGCTTGCAAAGCGAGTGCTCTAACCACTGAGCTACAGGACTCTGTCTGTACCTCACAACCAACACAGCTGAAACCCTTGTCCATGCCTTTTGTCACTTCCCAGCTGGATTATGCCCTCCTCACTGGTCCACCATACACAAAATCTAATTAATTCAAAACTCCGCCACCTGAATACCCCCCGCACAAGCTCCGTACCCCCATCACACCATTCCTTACCAGGCTCCCAATTCTTGAACAGATCTATTTCAAGATCCTCTCACTCGTTTTTAAATCCCTTCATGCCCTCGCACCTCCCTACCTATCCGACCTGTTTTCCCCTCCCTCCACCACCTGCTGCCTCTGCTCGGCCAGCTCCGGCCTCCTGTTTGTTCCTCGCTCCCTCCTCCACTATCGGTGGGCGTGCCTTCACCCACTACACCCCGAAACTCTGGAACTCACTCCCTCAATGCCTCCGCCTTGCCCCCTCCCTCCCCATCTTTAAATCCCACCTGTAGATCTTCCTTTTTGATCGTGCTTATGGTCACCTTGCCCCCTCCGTTTCCCCTTAGCTCTTCATCAGACTCTGCCACTGTTAAGTGCTCCGGGACGCAACCCCGTGTGAAGGGCACTATATAAATGCAAGTTGTTGTTGTTAAGTCAGCAGTTAGTGAGACATTGCTCAGGCACTATGACAACAGTGATGACTTTGATATATCAAGGAATATTCATCCTCCTTTATCACTTTACAAACTGCTACTTAAATCAGATTTAGAATTATGTATTACTTTTACACTTTATCAAGTAATGCACATTCATTTTGATAATATTTGCAGATCCTTCTTTACTTTAACTCAGATTACAAAATTAACATTTAATTTGTTTTTGCAATAGAACTTAAAATAAACAGAATCAGTACTTTGAGGGATAGAGGATGTTTCTAGTCTTTCCAAGTCATACTTGCCTTTAATCTTTTTATTCTAAAATTCTAGAAACCTACAGCTGAGTACTACAGTACACAATGGTTCGTTATGTGGGGAACTTTATTCAAATGCAGCTTTCTGGAAAGTCTGCTCCCAATGCAGTAAGTGGGGAATGCTCCAATTCTTAAAGTGTGTGCCGCACTTGCCAGGCTCTCTCTTACAGACACGGATTGTTTGCGGGCGTACAATTCAACAGATGCCAGGCGCCCTTTTGTACCTCAGCCTCGTAGACATTCTATGTGTGTGGGATTGACAGTGAATGCTGGCCGGCTATTTGATTGTAAGCGCATAACAATCAAACCAGTTCATGTGGTTATACCCACAAGCCCCAGATCCCCAGAGAGAGTAGGGTAAGAGAATGGGGAGTGGGGATCCACTGGATATCAATTAGCAATTAGGAGCAGAAAGCCTGGATGATTTCCCCATCTTTTAAGGTCAATTGGAACCCCCCACCCACCATCGATCACCCATTTGACATTGCCTTGGTGCTGTGCTGGGGGGGGTGGTGGTTTCCCCACACAGCTTCCGGAGGCGCTGTTTTGCTTTCTACTCTCATGTCTCAAAGAAATCCATTCAGAGAGAATGTCTAAAAAGGAAAAAGTGGAACAAATCCAACATAAAATATGTTTCACTGCACTGCTTGGTTGCTCGGAGTGATTCACCATCCAATGCCATACTAGCCCAGCAGTTCCCAGGTCAGATCATTGGCCCATGGCAACTCAGCTGATCACAGCTCAGGAGACAAAGCCTCAGCTCCCCGGGTTCAGAACGAAAAAAAATGAAATTAGCTGGGGTTCAGTCTCCTGACACTTATGCAGCAGCCTCTGCTGGACAAACACGTGTGTGTATACCACAGGAATTATCAGGATTAGGCTCATTCAACACTCGCCAGCCAATGACATGTACAGAGTAGCCATGTACAGGAGAGGAGAGATAAATAAGGGGAGCAAAACCAGTGTGGGAGTATCACACTCAAACGCAGTGGAAACCGGTCACCAGAAGAAAACCCTCCTGGCACTACATTTACATGGTTATATGGATGGAATTACAACTCCTTTTGAGGATAACCTCTTGTGCTGTCTCTCTCTGAACAAGAGAATAACGGAGGTTCTTCTCAAAAGATCTTGGGACATATAACAGGATTATTGTTATCTGCCTCCCTCTTATTGAAGGCAGCAGCCTGTGTGTGAGCTGTAGTAGAAGCAAGTCCAAATGTACAAAGTTGCCAGTGTGCCACCTGCAGCTCCATTACTCATCTGTAATGTACAGAGAGGACAAATGCTGGATATTCTCAGCAGGTCAATCCCAGCAAGCCTGCAACCTTGGTTATTATAAAAATAACAATTCTTGCATTTGATATAGCGCGGGATCACTTCTTCGAGATGTCTCAAAGTGCTTCACAAAATATACTGCAAAGTGAATTGACTGTATATTTTATGGGTGAAACATTGCAGCCAATTATGCAGTTTACTTATTATTGTTAGGATTATTATTATTACCATTTTACATATTATTGTAATAAGTAAATGCAACTCCCCCCCCCACCACCCACCCCACAGACACACACACACCACCACAGACACACACACATAGACACACAAACACAGTCACTGTTTCCTCCTCAGTACCTGTGTCAATGCTCCCTTGGGAGCTGTTTGCCCTCCCAAGGGGGATATTCCGATGACTGCTGTTCCGGAACTGAGACAATGAAGCCGTGGAATCGATTGTATTCCTTCTGCCGCCCAGCACATTGGTTGGATAAAGAAACTGAGTGTATGAAACAGTCTATGAAACAAAGCCAGAACTGGAAATCAGTGATCTCTGCTCCTCTTCAATTACGTGCCTACACCATCTCTATGGGGAAAACACAGCAACTATCCCGTCAAGAATCTTTCAAGAACCCATCATGATGAGTTCTTGAAAGATTTGCTTTTTATTATACTCTTTTAAACTTTTGCTTCTTTTACTATTTTTAATTCAATCTGGACTTGGGATCCTTTGAACAATCTTGCCGGCTAACTTCTGAATCAGTTTTAAATGCATTTTCAGTTGTGAAACAAACCCAATAACTAGCTGCTACTGATAAAATCTCCTGGTTATCGTATGGTTATTATTATAATAGATTTTAAAAAATCGATGATATTCTCTGTAAAATTGTTATATTATGGAGTTTTGGTGCAGTCAGTAATGCTTGAAATTCCGCATGGTCTTAGCGTCTTAACATTTAAGATCAGGAAGAATTTTGACAAATTCCTAAAAAGCGCAGCAGAAAACTGGCTTCCAAAATGAACACTGAATTTCAGACATTTCCACCATTTGAACAATCTTAAATGTTAAGACAGTGGTTCTAAGGCTAAGACCACGAGAAATGTCAGCAGTAAGGTTAAATCTAAACCAGACTGGTGGGAGAGAAATCTCCTCTTTCTGCCAGATGTAAGATTCGCTGGGTAATCATAATCCAGTTTCTAGTGGATATAAGTGCTCAGCACAATCAACCCAATCACAGAAAAAGTTGGCTTGGATGGTCAGAGGCATCTTCTGCAGTTGAAATAAAAATACTTTGCTGGTAAGAGAAAAGGAAACTTTCCTCAGTATCTGTCCAAGAAGCATCTATCCAGGCATCCATGCCTTATCTAGAAAGTGCAGAATATTGATATCGATTTTCTTTCCCCCAGTTACTGACATAGTTCATCTTAACGCGAAAAAAAAAGCAAGTGAAGGGAAACTTTGTTTTTGAACACTTTCTACATTTTTGTCAAACAAGAGTGTAGACAAACAAGTTTGTCTGTATCTTTCAAACAATGGTAAGGATTGAGGGTCTAACTTGCAGATTTCACTAACTGTACATAAACACCATGTAACAAGAGAATTGATTACACATGCCCCTTAATGATATCACTAAAAACAATATAAATTATTTCAGAACCACCTTTAATCCTTTCAGTTTATTTATTTAAAAACATCTGTGATTCCCTCTGGATACAAGTATTTGCAAATGGTTTGCACAATCCACAAATTAGACTTATTTTATTGTCCAATGGATTTAATAGATTGGAGGGCAGTCTTGAATTATACTTCCTTAATATTTTGCAAGGTATAAGAATTTATCCCAGTTGGGGCCTTTAAAAATGGCACAGATGATACAAAATATCATTGACGTGGGCAATACAATGTCAGCAGTCCTTGTGCGCTCTACTTATGGCTAAATCCATATTTACAATCTACAGCTTGTTTCAAACACAAATTGTGAGCGAGTGAACAACTTTCTCTTACAATTACTCCAATGACTTTAAAGGTAAAATTCTAAAGTCAAACAAAAGTATTTGAGGAAACACAAGGGTTAGCGCAGTTTCCAGACCTTATAGGAAGTGAAACCCACCTTCCCATCAGCCCCTAGTTCTACACCTTCAAGGCCAATCATCATTTCCTTGGCAGTGACTCCACCGGAAGGATGTCTCTGTCGCCCGGGCTCTTGTTTCACATCCCTGAAAATCATCAGATAACACACATTATGATGCACCAGAAAAATATGCACACATCTCTGTCTCTGTACAATTACTATCCATATACTTCGTACTAACAATAACCAGCAGATTTTAATGACAAGCAAAGGAAAACCAGCTGGATTCATCCACATGTTTTCTATTCATCACACAAGACCACAAGAAAGGTTCAGATTAAGAAATCCCTTCAGTTTATTTGATCTCATCCTTACAGAATACCCATGCCACATCTTCCCATTTAGCATCCAGCTGTTTCTTGAATGAGACCAATGTTCATCCTTCCTGATAACCTGTTCCAGCTGTCAATTGCCCTCTCTGCAGATCGTAAAAACGAAATGACTTAAAAATGGAGACTGAATTGAACAATTCTTCACAAGTCTGTGCTATCTTAAAATTGAAGACCAAATGATACATCAGATGAATACTAGGTAGAACTTCTGGCTTTTTTCTGTGCACAGCCTAGTGTCAGTTTGGTGCGTTCACCTCTGAATCACAAGGTTGTGGGTGTTCAAGCACCACATTGGGATTTTGAACTCATATTGTAGGCATGACACTATGTAGATCCATCTCAAGACCCTCCTCTTTGTCCGTGCTTTTGATCTCCCTGATTGCTCCCCGCCCTCCACCCTCCGCGACCGCTGACCCCCATCTCGGGTCCGTAACTCTATCTGTCCAGTGCCTTGGGATAATAATAATAATAATAATAATCCTTGCATTTGACATAGCGCTTTTCACGTCGGGAGGACGTCCCAAAGCGCTTTACAGAACACACTGTAAAGTGAATGGACTCTATATTTGTGGGCGAATGCGGCAGTCAATTGCGCACAGCAATGTCCCACAAACAGCGTAGATTGAAAATGAACAATTTATTATTGTTTTTGGTTTTGGAAGGATTATTATTGTCCTCCTGACGTGAAAGGTTCTTTACAAATGTAATTTTGTTGTTGTTGTTGACACTCAAATACAATAGCTGTAGCCAATACAGTGAGCTGCATTATTGAAAATGCGTTCTTCAGATGAAATATTAAACCAAGATCCTAACTACTAGTTCAGGTGAATACTAAAGATCCCAATAATACTATTCAAAAGGAGAAGCATTTCTTCCTGGTGTCCTGGCCAACAATTCCTCAAATAAAATTGGTAATTTATCTCCTGGCTGTTTATGGGATACTGTTGTGTGCAAATTGGCCTGCCATGTTCACCTAGAAAATATACAGTCTCTGTACTTTGTAGTAAATCCTTTGCGACCACATCACTCCCACCCTCGCTCGCCTCCACTGGCTCCCCATCCCCCAGAGGAGCGAATTCAAGATCCTCATCCTCACCTACAAGGCCATTCACGGCCTTGCTCCCTCCTACCTCTCCGACCTACTATCCCACTACTTACCTGCCCGTACTATCCGTTCCTCTGGCTCTGGTCTGCTCCACATCCCCCGCCCTAACCGCCCTACCATCGGTGGCTGGGCCTTCAGCCTCTCAGCCCCGAGGCTCTGGAACTCCATCCCCCAGTGCCTTCGCCTTGCTTCCTCCCTTTCCTCCTTCAAGGCCGGTCTCAAGACCTTTGTCTTTGATCGTGCCTTCAGCTCCCCTCTCAACTCTCTAACCCCTCCTCGCTCCCTCCCTTCCCTCCCCTCACCCTGACCATTTCCCCCTTGCTCAGGTCCCGACCCAACTGTCCAGCGCCTTGGGATGTCCTCCCGACGTGAAAGGCGCTCTATAAATGAAATCTTGTTGTAAAATGCTTTGATACGTCCTTCTGACACGAAAGGCGCTATATCAAATGCAAGGATTATTATTAATAAGCCTCACAATTGGGTAAGCATCGGCTTGAATGTCTGTTTGCTGCTAAAGCAGACGGACCAGAAAGCTACAGGGCAACTCCTACTTTGTGCCGAGTTCACTGATCACAACCTGGGCAGCAGATGGCATGTTACTCTTGGCCCGGGTTAAAGAGAAGAAACATTAGCCGGGTTTCTAGGAGAGCATGACATTCCACCTGTCTCAGCTATAAGACCATTTTGTCTTAAAAGTTGAGAAACTTAAAATCATACAGTCTCTGGTTGCTTTATAAGCGCTCCGGGACACCGTCCGGCGTGAGGCGTGCTATGTAAATGCAACTTGTTGTTGATGCTTTCCAGAGACCACCGTTTAAAACGTGTAAATGTATGAATAATGGGTGAAATCTCAGGCTCGGCTGTGAGGCACCCCACCCCCGTGGTCATGTCACCTGCTGATATTTACTGTGAAGGTCAAACAAATAGCTGTTGGGTAAGATAACAGAGGGCAACCAGCAACCAAAAATAGTACCACTAACCCAGAGCCAATGCTGTCCATCACATCAGAAGAAAGTGACCATAAAAATCATCACAATGAAAAATCAAGTTGTGTTGTTCAAAACAAAAGTGTTTTATATTAACATCTAGGAGTTAAGTGGCCCAAATTCCACCCTCCGATCCACCCATTAGGCCCTTTGTCTTTAAACTTTAAGATTGCATGGAATTATACAGCATTTTTAAATTCATGCTTAATCTAGAAGCCAATTTTCCCGCAGTTTTTTTAAGAAGGGGCAGCTTCCCCAAATTAAGATTGAATTTAAGAATTTTCCACATGTCTCCGCAATCTTAAATTTTACGACAAAAGAATTTCACAGGCCGACTAGGTGAAATTTCAGACCAGATATTAGCGAACAGATTTTGAAACAACACGTCTCCTGGTAGCGGGAAGTGTGTCACGTTTACTTGCAGAAACTCCATTCTGACATGATCCACTTCCCAAATGGAGTTCCTGTGGATCAATTGTGAGGCACCTTGGAGTTGCTATTTATAACTGTTTGAGAATATCAGGGTTTAGATCCCATTACCTACGCCCAATAGAAACTCTCTCTTCAATCACAGCTAACATTTGTCAATTTCTTTCCACTTCAGTGGAATAAACGGTGTGTATAGCACTACGATAATAATAATCCTTGCATTTGATAATAGCGCCTTATCACATCTTCTAGACATCTCAAAGTGCTCCACAGCATATAGTGTGAAGTGAATTGACTGTATATTTTGTGGTCTAAACTTGACAGCCAATTGAGCACAGTAGTGTCCCACAAACAGTCTTTTCTGATCTGCATCAGTGCTTCAGAAAGAGACATTACCCCTCCGTTTTTCAGTACACTGACAGACATGTTGGCAGCCTGGATATTTGTGCTGATTCTTCAGCAGTCATATTTTTATAGTTCAGCTATTGTAGAAGAAACAATTACTAGTGAAGTATTAATTTCCCATTGTTTAGTCTGCTCCGAACAAAAAGAACAGGAACTCTGGCAAACGCTCACCATGCCTCCTGTAATTCAATGGGATTTCCGTCAATAGATCTGAGGTTGTTAACTTTGTGCTTTATAACTATGCTGTGCAGATTCATAAAACATTGATTGCCATAGTGTTCACGCAGAGAATCATTCACGGTAACAATTGACTGGTATGAACATACTTACTGTATTACAAAAGAAAATGCACAAGACAATTATGGGGAAAGTGTAGAAAATAACTTCATCAACATCGATTGGTCGACTAATAACTAGACTGTTCATAGTATCATGGGTGTTGCTATAATAATAATGATGATCCTTGCATTTGGCATAATGCCTTATTGTGTCATCAGGATGTCTCAAAGTGCTTCACAGAAATTACTGTGAAATGGAGTGCCTGTGTATTTGTAGGCAAACGCGGCAGCACAATTGCGCACACCAATGTTCCACAAATAGCCATGAAACGAGTGACCAATTTTATTTGGGGATTGTTGGCCACAACACCGGGAGAAACTCCGTTCTCTTTTCAAAGAATGCCATGGGATCTATAACATCCTCTTGAACAGGCAGACGGTTGCCAATGCAACACATCCCCAGCACTGTTTTGGAGTGTCAGCTTACACTGTGTGAGAGTTCAAGTACCGACATGTGATTTGAGCCCACAACTCAAAAGGTGAGAATGCTACCACTGAGCCAAGCTGACACACAGTACGTTGTCTGATAAGCTCCATGGTCTTCCAATAACTATCAACTTTCAGATCTTGTTCTTATCTTCAAATCCCTTCACAAGTTCACCTCTCCTTATCAATGCAATCTTTTCCAGTCCTATTCTTTTGCCCTCTTCTGATTCTGCTCTACTGCTCACTCATCATTCTTTCTATCCCATGTGGCCGAATCTTCAGCAATCATTCCTTTCCCCTACGTCCCTCTTCCATAACCTCTTTGCCTTGCTTCATCTAAGCTGTCTCCAAAACCCTCCTAAAAATATACCTCTTCAACCCTTATTGTTCCCCTTTCCTGTTAATGCTCCTTTATTATATCTTTACATCCATCCTACATAAAAAGGTGCTCTACAATTCTCTGCAAGTTGTTGTTTCAAAATGATTTGAAAATGTCTGCAGATGTAAAGCAATCAGATTGTTTCCCATCACGGACTGAGTTTTTTTTCCAGTTTGTTTGTTTCCCATCACGGACTGAGTTTTACTAACCTGTGCCAAATGGCAACTAACTTTTTATGTTTTTATGTACCAGCAGCGAAACCCAACCTTTAATGTGAAAAAAATATAATGATGCAATTCAACAGGATTTAAGGGATTAGTTTACAGGGCGGATTAAGCAGAAACCAAAACAATTTTGCACTGTCTACATTCATAAAGCTAGGATACTATCATTTCCTTCTCAATCATGTGCCTGCAACTGTACTAAATATGTTTTGTTGTTTCAACACCTCATCGGCATTTAATCAATACTATACGGTCATCATAAACAACATTTTCTTTTACTTCCTGTTTTTCACATGAGATCATGGATTAGGAGAAATTTAGGAGAAGGAAGCTGTTGAGATGTGGTCTCAACTTCAAAAGACCCACGTGGTTTGTAGGAATATATTAACAAAACTAATCAAACAGAAGTTCACTTCTTGATGCAATTGACTGTAAGTCAAAAGTAGCTTTTTTATTTCTGA